CGCAACGCGAGCCGAGCCGACCGGACCAGGCCGGGCCGGCCGACCCGCGACTGTGCAGAATTGGGCGCGCGTGGCAGGCGCGCGTGCAGCCTGCGGCTGGCGCCTTCCCGCGCGCGTGGCCACGCACTTCCAGCGTGCTGCTGGGCGCGTGAGCGCGCGTGGAACGGCCAGTTTGGCCCGGTTGTTTCCTGTTTTCTCGATTTTTGTCCCGGCTCCAGTTCTAATACTGTTTTTACGTGGATAGGGACTTAACTTAGAGAAATCAGTAGTTTTGGACACCTCACGGGCAAAGAAACGCTAGCGAAAGGGCACGCGTCAACCAGGTAAGTCACCACCCGGTATTTAGGAAGAAATACTTGTAGGGTTCGCTTGGATTGTATGTATGCATGTTAGTAATTTTGCCTTAAATTAGCCCTCCATGAATGAGATTAATTAGATGGATTGTTATGATGTGTTGGGTGAATTATCTGAGTGTTGCTTGTATGCCTTAAGCTTCCGTTGTACGTATGCATGCGTTTAATTTATGCTAAAATTGTGTATGCCGGGTTTTGGATGCTTGATGGAGGTCATCGTCCCGTTGAGCCGGTATGCCTAGTTTGCATGAATTACATACTATGATGTTAGAAGAAGATTGCATGCACCCTCTGTTAATTTGTAGGCCAATTTCTATGATAAGATTAGGGAATTTCTTTTAGGAGCGATATGCTGCTCTAGACAGACTTAATTTTCCCCTAGAAACTTAGCGGTTTACCACGGTAAGAAAGTACCTAAGGGGGTTCATGGATTGCTAGCGTGAGAACGGTATCTATAGCTTCGTGGGAGGTCCAAGGGTCCCTGATCAGTCCTTACTGTTCTTAGCCATTTCGCATGGGAAATGTGTCCCCACGTCGTACAGCCCATTAGCTGCATGGGAACGGGTTGGGTCGCGCCCCCCATAGGAGGACTATATGGGCGTAGGGGTATTCAGCACACCCCTAGGCTAGGTACCATGTAGTTCTAGATAGCCATGTAGAGGTAGCGCCTCATAGAGAGATACCGACCATATTAGCTTGGCATAAGGAACCCCTAGGTGACTAATGAAAGGACGATAAACCGGTGAAACCCAAGGGGCAAGCCCCAAGAGACTAAGGTTAGAACCCGATGTCCTAGAACCGAATTAGGAAACCGTGGGAGTTCTGTGAAATTAAGATGCGAAGAGAGCCTACAAGTAGGTGGCTTACTGAGTATAATTTTTATACTCATCCCGTTCTCATTTATTTTTCTCAGGTGTTCACTGGCTGCTGGTCGAGGTAGAGGAGCGTTTGAGAGTTGTACAGTCACAGAGGGGGTCGTTCCGGAGCGTCAGTCCCTTTTCGGTCTTTTAGAGTCTTTTGTATTTCATTTTATATTTGCAATTTCTTTTGTAATAATTAACAAACAAAATTTCTCTCTTTTGTTTTAATTCAAAGTATTTTTATATTTTTACTTTGGTTTTCTTTTCTTCTACTTTCTTTTTGTTTGTTTTCGATTTCGTCTTTTGGTTCACGGCCTGATTTTCGAAGCCTCGAAAATCGGGTCGTGACAATTATTTTGATAGACCAGTGAGAAAAAATGAAAGAATTAAGAACATAAACAATTACCAAAATTAACAAGTCAAACAGCTTTCAAACTTGTTCTCCCAAACTATAAGAATCTCAATAACAAAAAGGTTAAGACGTCCAGTTACCTTTCTAAAAGCCACGTTGAGGGGTTTCTACCATTTCCATACTGATGAAAGAGGTATTTCACGATATCACCTATAAGCAAAATATAGAACACATGCATGTAATAGAATAATCAAATAGCACGGAAGCTGGCCAAGGAAAGTGAAAGATAAGAAGAAAAATTGGATGAAAGATTTTGTATCTCAATTGGAGGATACTTGCGTTTCAGAACGCATGAGTTGATATACACTATTCTACACATGCAAAACATGAACGATCACAACAAAAAACGTGAATTAAAGCAATAAAGCATTAGAAAAGTTGGGGAATGTGGATACTATAACAATAGGAGGCTTAATCACTTACCACTTTCATACATTGAAGTACTGGTATTTGGATCAATAAGAAAAGGAAACCTGCATTTACAAGTCTTAATTGAGAAGATGAAGTGACATATGTTTAGAGAAATAAAAGCATGTCATTACTTCTTATGCTATTTTATGGTTGGTTAAAATCCAAAATAAAGTCGCAGAATAAAACCATGCCTCCACAATTGAAGGACCTCACAAAAAGGTGTATATTTTGTTGGCTAAGATTGGTAAATGAAGTGGTATAATGGAACCATTTCTTCTTATTAAAAAGGTGTATAATTGCAAAAGCATTAGCATAAGCCAAAAAATTAGCTAAAAGCGATTTCATAGCAGTCCTTATTTTTTACCTGAAAATTCTTCTATATCATTCTAACTGGAAGTCCTAAATCAAGGCCTTACCACATTCTCCAAAACATTTCCACCTGCCTATTGAAATTGTGCACATTAGTAGTTGCTCTATATTCTCGAGCATAAATGAAAAAACTCACTGAACTTAGTTTTTTCTTTGATCATATGAATGATCTTGAACCAAGCATCCCAAAAGCATTTCTTGGCAGACATTAAGGTTCCAATTAAAATTGTGCACCTATCATCCTAGGAGTCAATTCATCTTTACTCCAGCCTCTCCCTAAGGGTCAGTCATATACTTCCCCTCTGGTTGATGCTACACCTTTAACAAGGTCAACAGAGAAAGATCCTTATAAGATTCTAAGAGACAAGCGGCTGAAGACCACCTAGCCAATGATCCGACCTCTCCATTTACAACCAAAACCCTTCTTCCAAAGCACCTTATCTAAAAAGTCTCAATCTACAAGATTACCTTGCAAAACCATTTTTCTTTTTCACAATAAACCCAAAAAAGATATATATATATTTACAAAATCTATTTTCATTAAAGAATCTTATTATTTAGAAATATGAATCCCGGCTAACAGAAGCTAACAAAATTATTAACAGAAAATGTCCTTGGCATATAACTCCAAACCACAAACTAATAAAATGTTTTTTTTTAATAAAAAAACTATATTTTATAACTGTAAGTGTCAAAGCCAACAATACATGAACTAGTCAAATGGGACAATTGCTTCGCCATGCAATGCTCAGTATTAGAGAACTCGTAGCAATGCTAAAACCCTAGTAGGTGGCTGCTATAATTAAACTCGTGACTTCAAAGGCATTTGGGCTTACAAGTAATCCTTTGGCCATTTGACAGATTAAAGGTGGTTTCTTTCAAACTGTACATTTGTAGGTCGGAAAGAAAAACACAACTGATTAATTTTTATATTTGACAAATTAATACACCTTTTATCAGACTCCATTCATTCTTTATGGCACCTTAAAATGATCTTGAATAAACTGAAATATGGACTAAATAGAAAGAACCACGTACTGCTCTTTGCCACCACATTTCTTAACTATGTCCCGATGTCTAATAGAACCCTTGGGACAAGGATAAACCTGCATAATATGCCGGTAAGTTTTGAACAGCTAATACATTCAGTTAATAGTTTGATGCAAAGCATTAAGTGGACTAAACATTCGAAGCAAACAAAAAGTCATAGTTTGGCCGAAGTTAACAGGGATCAATATTGAAGTCAATTAAATTTCATTCTTTCTATAAGACAGTTTAGATGGAGTACCTCAGAAAGATGAAATTCGTTCCTTCTAATGGAGAAAACTAGCAAAAATGCAACTTCCAAAAACTTCCTGAATGTTTATCCTCAGTCGAATAATATGATAGACCATTATAAAACTGATGGCAGTATAGAAAAGAACATACGCAGCCACTTAACCTTCTCAAATTAGATTGTATCAGATGGTCACACATAACATATACAACATCAATGATAGGAATTAAGGAATTTCTTTTAGAAGTAAAAGCAATCAGAAGGCTGGTTGTAAGAAGTGGAAATAGAGAAACTTGATACAGAAACAATTTAGTCATTGAGCTACAGGAAGCAATCAAAACCAGTTTTTATGTATCTTTTCGATCCACTGAAGTCAAGTAAAAGCTTGAGATCAACCCGATAATCAAAGAAAACAGTCAAAATCAAAGCTAAACCAAATCCATTTGCATGGAATAAATCTTTTGTAGATATCAGGGTGATTTAAAGCAGTTTAAAACGGACTAGAAATGGCAATAAAGTTAACAGCTCAAATGTTATTAAAATTTAGCCATGAGATATTGATGCAACAAAAACTAAGTCGACCAATTTTATTTCATACCTCTACTAAAAGATCCAGTTCAGTTAAGGCCTCTCGAACCCTCCTGCAAAAGGGGCATGCCTCTGCCGACAAGTAAGATTTGAAATGAGAAAACTTGTAAATACTGCTATTCAATAGCTAAGATTAACTGCTCCGGAGAAAACTTGGAGTAGCGTACAACACAACTTCTTTCAAAAATTCCACGACAGTATATTTCAAAACTGCATTCCTTATTGTAACCAATTCATAAAGCCAATTTGACTCTGGATATCTTCCTTGTAAACTTCACAAAAATCATCCTCCTTCTTGAGTAAAATATATTTTATTCAATATAATCTCTGCTTTCTATCAACATTGAATTCCATAAAAATTAAACCCTGAGATATCAGAAGGTAATATTATTTTGGCTTCCGACATAAGATAACTGCAAAGTTAAAAACAGACATTACCAAATTCATAGAGTTGCAAAGGCAACAGAGGCTCCAAATTAATATTCCTATTGCTTTGAGAACTATCCGACAACGTTCTTGAGCCCCATGGAAGCCTAGCCAATGTAGATAAGGAAGATGTGGCTACCTGCTCTATAGCAACAAGATGAGAGATGTCATAGAAGGATACTAGCAAGCTATTCAGAGTAGCATGATTGAGCAATGCAGGAAAACGCGTGTAGCAACAAATAAAAAGGTGAAAAAAATATTAACATTATCCTGACCAGAAAAATATTAGCAGTTATTAGGTTAAATTGTTAGTGATGCTATTGTTTTGACCAGAAAAATATTAGCAGTTATTAGGTTAAATTGTTGGTGATGCTAGAATCTAAAGCGTTTGGGAAAGCTTGGGATTCCAATGACAGAACATAATGTAGGCATGTTAGAATAATATTGAAGAACGGATAGGCTACATCTAGTTAATCCTATGTGAGTATATCAATCTGACATCTCTGTGCGATTAAGTAATAAACAGTCACAAAGTAGTCGTAGGTCTACCGTGTAAAGCTGTCAGTTCTATTTATTTGCATTGATATAATATATAATCTTAGAACCATAACAAGATCTGTATCAGTCTACAATATGTTCCAGAAAGAAATTACGTATGGTAGAAGTAACTATGAAAAGAAGATAACAACAACGATTGTAAAATACCGGCGAAACACAAAAATAAGGAAACGCATTGAACGAAAAAAACAATCCAGAGAGTAAAGAGCGAAAAATTATTGCCTCCAAAGTAAAATTCCTCTCTCTCGAAGGATCTCCTCCCTACAATTCAAAAAAATATGAAGATGAAGATTATTAACATGAGAAGGTAAAGTTAAATGAAATGAGAGAAAAGGATCCTGTTCTATGGGCGAAGAAATGAAATGAAGATTAGAAGTAACACGCGACAGTTCTTAGACTCTTTCGGTGGATATCAATGACAATTAGTCAAGTCAGCTTCGTCGGAAACGCTAATTGAAAAGCATGTAAATGCGCAAGTTTATATATATATATATATATATATATTTACAATTTACTCACAGCGAAAATCTTGAGTAAAGGACAGAGATAAGATAGAAAACTTGTAGAAAGCTTGCTTCCATTGTTCGAAACTGCATTACTTTCGGGCGAATGCTGAGCTCGAGGTTCTTCAGTTTCAGCACCTGAGCGAACAGAGTTTGCGTGAAACCTGTGTCTGCGTGAAGAAATTCTCAAAAATTTTGATGAAATCGGAAAGAGATTCCGATTCAGAAGGACAGATGTGGTTGCTTGGTTGAAGCTGCGATCGGAAAGAAGGATTTGCAGAGAGGAATAATATGGAGTAGTGAAAGAAAACGATGACATTCTAATCGCCTGTTTGGCTTCAAACCTCCAACTGCCCTACTCTTTTGTGCTAACTAATATATATATATACATATATATCTTTTCCCTCCTCTTTTTCACTTTTTGAAGGCAAATACATTTTAGGTTAAAATAATATTTTAATCCTATACTTTTATTTTCATCTTATTTTACTATTTATACCTTCATTATCTATACAGAGAGTACACCAACGGAAATAGTTTATAACAGGTTTTAAAATAATAAAAATGGATTTTATTTTATTAAATAACAAAAACTGAACAAAAAGGTATAAGATGTCGGTAGGCGGAAAAATGTATAAAAAGAACAACAAAAGCTTCCACACCAAAAATTCCAATTTTCACACATCAATTCATTTTATTTAATTAATCTGTACACTTTCAGTGATTTTATTTGGTTTTATTTAATTTTATTTGGTTTCCATTTACAATTTCACACTTGGGAGGAAATAAAACGACAGGTGCAGCAATTTCCGTGTACGATACGATGAAAAAATTACAAAACTTTTTAAATTTAAGTTTAAAATTGCTGTAAAATTTAATAATTATTATTCCTTCTATTATCTTTCTACCACGTGCATTAAATATAATTGACCAATTATATATATAGTCAGTTTATTTAGTGCCTCGGTCTATGAACGGCCCACTTGTATGGGAAACTTGGAGTTGGAGGCCGACATTTCTTTACAATTTGCAGATGTGCCCATTAACTCTGACAAATTCACTTTTCTATCACATTAATTATATCATATCTCTGTATGTATTTTTGAGCACCTGTTTTTCACGTAATTAATTAAACATTTCATGTGCTCTACAACAAATTTTAAATCACTCCAGAATACTTTCAACGCAGTAAAAGTAAAAATATTTACAGCAACTTATTAAACTTATTACTCTTCAAAATACACAACTCTACTGTTAAAAAGAAAATCTGGAAAGTAGTTAACTTTGTTTTTAAATTTAAGATTGTCACGACCCCAAATTAAGCCGTGACTAACATTGTATGACATGTAATGCATAAACGAGAAATTCAAGGAAATCATTTGTTTCAAAAGAAAAACGTATCTTTATTAGAAGGACATAAGTGCCTAGGTAAAAAAAACAAGGAAAGGAACATGTGAGACAAAGTGTACTATTTAGTAAACTAGACTGACGCCCCGGGACACGCTTCCTCTGTGACAACCCACATCGATCGACGCGCCCTCTCTTGACTCGACGCCTCACGTACCTGAAAAAAAAAGTATAAAGGGAATGAGTATAAAAATTATACTCAGTAAGCCACCTACTTGTAGGCTCTTACCGCACCCTAAACTTAGCAGACGATCACGGACTTTCCTTTGGCTTTAGAACAACTGAATCTGGTCTTACCTCATTAGGGCTTACTCTCTTGGAACTTATCCCTTTGGACTTCTTTGGTTCCTAGACCTTTTATTTAAACCCATAGAGTTCCTTTTATGCTAACCTGTGTTGGACTGGTGCCTTACGAGTGGCTACCTCGGCATGGGTATGAGATTATCTGGGGTCTTGCCTAGGAAGTGAGCTGCAACCCCCTAGACCCATGATAATCCCCCTGTATTTGGGAGGGCTACCTCCCCTATTCCATCCAGCTAAACGGTCAATTACGACGTGGGTATCCCGTTTCCCATACTAAACGGCTATCGAGCAGTCGAGTCCTGATCAGGAACCCGCTGGTCCCCCACGAAGCTATATCACCATCCACACACAAGTAGCCTAAGGGTACTCTAAGGATGTTTCATGTGCCGTGATGGTCTGTTAAACTAATAGGGAAATGTTAAGTCTATTCCTCGATGGCTTGTCGCTCTAACCATAGTCTTCTAGTCTTATTCATAAAGGTGGCCATAAAAATAACCGAGTACGTACATAACTACTATCCAAAAACCTCAAACACATTTCATGCAAAGTAATCATACAAGCTCGACGGGGTGATAACATCCATCAACTCCCGGAGC